TATTCAGCTCACAGTGCAGGTAAAATAGTTAACTAGGTTAATTAAGTTAGCTAGGCAAGTTCAGTTAAGTAGGGAAGTCATTGGACAACAGTGATTTGTTCTATGGCCAACCAAAGTAAAAGTTCTTAAAGGGACTAATATTATTGACCTTTAAATCATTTTATACAATTCAAAAATGGCTTTTATTCCAGCCAAACTAACAATAAACACTTTCTCCAGAAGAAAAAATAAAATAGGAAAACAATGTGAAAATGTGAAAATTAAACAGCACACATGAGGGCTCATAATTTTGCTTTTAACCTTATATAAATGTATTATGTGTAAAAATTATACTGTATATACATTTAAATATATTTTGTTTGTGTTATATTACTAAAATGTTTTATTTGAGTAATATATGTGTATTACATAAACATATTAAATAAATTGGGTGACACTATAGCTCAGTGCATGGTTAGCACTGTCGCCTTACAGCAAGAAGGTCGCTGGTTTGAGTCCCATTTCACAGTCAGCATTTCTGTGTGGAGTTTGCTCTCCTCGTGTTGGCATGGGTTTCCTCCGGGTGCTCCGGTTTGCCCCACAGTTTTAAGACATGCATTAACTAAATTTGCCGTAGTGTATGAGTGTGTATAAATGTTTCCCAGTATTGGGTTGCAACTGTAAGAGTATCCACTGTGTAAAACGGCAAACTGTGTATGCTGGATAAGTTGGTGGTTCATTCTGCTGTGGCGACCCTTGATTAATAAAGGGACTAAGCTGAAGGAAATTGAATGAATATATAAATATAAATACACACACATTTAGTATGTGAAAACTTTTATTTTGGATGCGATTAATCCTCATTAATCCTTTCTCAGCACTAATATGAAACAAGTATATGTCTGTCTGTTTTTTTTGGGAGGATATGAAGCTTTTGCAGTAGGATCTAGATAATAGATGCTGGTAAACAAGCCAGAACTGCTCGCCAGGGTGATGCATCTGTAATTGCTGCAGTCATTCCAGTTCCCCTTTAAATGTGGCTATTTTAGTATAGCTTGCATGTGCTGCGGCACACTTACTTCCTTCCTTTCAGCTCTAATACATGACTTTTTGGACAGGGTGGAGCAGTCTTATCTCCCCTTTTCGTGCTTACAGTTTCAAGGAACATTTCTCCCAGTATTCAGCCATTTATTTATTCACCCTTGTGCTTTCCCAAATGTGTCTAAAAGTCACTGCAAAGAACGAGTTTATTGTATTTGAACCATTAAATTAAACGACCATAATATCTCTGAAAACCCCAGGTATTTAATCTAATTTCATTCAAATTTTACTGTGATGCCGCATTGCTCATACTGTATATTAAGTTGCTGGAGCTGTAGTGTTGCTGTTTTACTAGCGGTGTTTGAGTTCAGAGCTGTTGTTCTCTGTGTGGGGTGACTAATGAATGACTAAATGTGCCACTCAGAGTAATGGGCTGCTTTTCTACGTGCCATTGATTATTCACCACTGATTCCATGGGAGACTTTCCCGGAAATAGAGTGCTTTACATCTTTCCTATAATTTGGATTGCCACTTCTGAAGTTTGAACACTTGCCCAGGGTTTTACAGTGCATGCTTCACTGAAGAGCTTCTGTCATGAGTTCTCAACCTGGGAGTCACCAGAGATTTCCTGCCAGTCATCAAGTGTGACCACATAACATTAATTAAACATCTTTTAGTCTACTTTCTGGCTTAAATACTACTAGGCAACCATATTGCTTTTTTTTCTTTTGATATATTTAAGAAGGTTTTACCGTTAAATAAAACCAACAAGTAAACATTGAACCATTAATAAGTGTAGATCTTTGTAAATTGAGATATACATTATGTAAAGTTTGAATAAATAAGCTTTCCATTGATGTATACTTTGTCAGGACAAGATGGTATTTGGCTGAGATACAACTTTTTTTAATATCTGGAACAATTAAATTGAGGACAGGATTTCCATCCAATAAATTTGTTTAGCAGCACCACCAACAACAACAACAACAAAAACTATTTACACTTAAATGCAATTGAGTTGGTCCAACATGATTTTACCAAATAAAAATTTAAATACATTTGTATTTTTATTTAAGTTAAACTCAAGATTTGATAATATCATGTATGTCTATTATGTGTCATACTTTTTAAAGTCTCTTAGTTTTATTTGTTATTCTAGATCAGGGGTGCAAAAACCTTTTCTTATAAAGGGCCAAAAACCAAACTTGAATGAGGGATGTGGGCCGAATATATACCAAACCGAATATATCACACCATATTACATAAAATTTGCCATGGGTAATTTCCTAATTTATTCCCAAATATATAAAAATAACTAGAAAATGTTGCTTTAAATCATCTTTCATGAGTTAGATATACAGTTGATTGAGACTGATCTCAGAACTAGTTTTAGGACAGTTATTGCTCACTGAGCAGAGCAACAAATGTCATTTTTGCCAATTATGCTTCTTGGGTGCTTCTGCAAGGTGGTAAACTCAAAGCTTTACATGAAACTCTTCTAAATCTCTTCTAAAATAAAGATTAAACTCTAATAAGTCTTTCTGTTAACTTTAAACATCTAATATTGCGTTTTTCGCCAACATTTGCCTTCTTAATTAAATCCTACACAAAGCATGCTGGGAATTACAAATCCCCTAACCAGGTAGTTGGACCAACACAATTCTTTCAGGTCGTCCAAACACAAACGGTTTAAGTTAACTCAATAGTTTACACATTTAAGTGGACTGAACATGAAACAAATAAAGTGGCCAAAGTAATGACAAGAATGGTGTGGTTTAAGCTCATTTTAAAGAGGCAGTTTGAACTAGCAGAAGTTATCATTTTTGAGGGAATTTGAGGGTTAAAAAAAAAAAAAAATTCTGAGAAAATCACCTTTAAAAAGGTCAAACTAAGTTATTTGTCATGTACATTGCAATTTGTTATTATTGGTTTATTATTGTAATTGAAAATCACATTTAGGTCACAACTTTCGGTTTTGTGCAAAATAAATTTAATACAAGTTTGAAATATATATGAAAATTTAAGTATGAAGTATGAAAATACTTAAAAACATTGTTGGGTATTTTTGTCTGGACAGGACAGGCTTTATGCTAAACATAATTGGATATAAAGTTAACACAATTTACTGTAGTTTACACACTTGAATCATCATTAGTTAGTCTATCTGAAGCAGGTATTGCTGTATGACAACATTTGGTTATAAAATTATTTCCTAGCAAAATAAGTAAAATGAAAAAACGAACAAAAGCACACACATTAATTTAAATGAGTCAGCCAAACAAAAAGTGCTAAATATATATTCAAAAAGTTGGCAACACTTAAGCTTCAAAAATGCCAATTTATTAAATTAAATAGGCTGATACAAGGCATGTAACGTTTCGAGCACACCGGCTCTGCTGATGAAGAGTCGTGTGCTCGAAACGTTACACGTCTTGTATGAGCCTTTTTAATTTAATTGATTGGCATTTTTGGAGCTTTGGTGTTGCCACCTTTTAAATATATATTTAGCAAAGTAAGTAAACATTTATTTTTTACATATGTTTTTTTTTTTTTTACTTTTAATACTTAAAGGCAATATTGAGTTCATAAAAAAAAAGATATTGTGAAGAAAGCTGAAAACCTGTAACCATTGACTTCCATAGTAAGGAAAACAGATACTATGGAAGTCAATAATTACAGGTTTCTAATAAAAGACAGCTTTAATATATTTTTGGTTGGAAATAACCAAAAGTTTCTTCATAAACATGATTGTTACATAGTATTAAAATGATTTTTTGAAATGAAAGAAAAATGTACAATTTAGTTGCGTTAATGGATTTTCGTCTATTGCCAAAAACATACCCATAGAATTTGATTTGATTATTTTAATCCAAATTTTTTTTATTATTACTTTTAATTTTCTTATTTGATTTTATTTTTGTTTTACCACAAATCTAACCTTTTTATTTGAAGTTTTTTTTTTAACCTTAATTAAAGAATAAACCACATATATATTTGTTTTATATTGAGTATATTGTTTGATGCTGATCTATCTAAATAAATAAATATCTAAAAGGCCGCCAACAATTGTCAATACAGACAAAAGAACAGTGCCAGACTAATAAAATCCAGACTACCAACTTCCTATGAAGTGACTCATTTTCGGAAATGCACCATTAATGTTCCAACACAAGAGTGATTTGCATCCAGAGGGTTTTGTGACTCTAACACAGGCCATGTGCTCTGTGGGCAGTCAATTTCTGAATCTTTTTCAACTGTCGTCTCCTGACGCAAAGGCCAGCAGAACGGGACTCAAGTAGGTGGTTCAGGGCTGAGTTTTGACCCGGCCATGGGCACATGCTGTACTGATACACTTGTAATGCCCACGCTTTAATACAGCCATCACTGTCTGTCAGCAAAGACCCTCATTCTCTCAGATCCATTACGCACATAAGAGCTGTTCCAAGAAAACATTGTTAGTCCTGATAGAATAATTCAATTCAGGTTTATTTTTTATAAAGCTTTTTATTACATATAATTTCAAAGCAGCTTCAAACAAAAAAAGGCATGATTCTGTTTTACAATTAAGAGAAATGTGGTTATCAGAACTTACATCAATGTAATGTTGATGATTCACTCATTCAAATGATTGGTTCAGACTGAGTCTCCAGTAAATGATTCAGGGAATTTACATGCTGATTTAAAGTGGGTCAAAAACAGGACATTTTGTAGTTGGCACGAAATTAATTATGGCACAAAAAATTTGTTACTTGTGCCAAAATTTTTGGATTTATTTTTGTAAATGAAAATCACATTTAGGTCACGACATAAAAGCAAAAATGAGAAGCAAAATTTCCTTAACTCATTAGCACTTTTACTCAAGGGCTTGATTTGTGTACCACTAGTTTTGTTGATATAATTGAGGGCTGAGAAAGCATCAGAATAATATGTGAGTCAAAGTGATGTCATTAACACAAATGGTGACTCGTCTTTTGCCGCAGGTTGACCTGAACAAGCTAATGACGGCTGTGAATGTAAGCCATTGTCTGAGCCCCAGTCATAAGCCTTTGGAGTCTCCTGGTGTGGCGGTGGAGCAGTCGCCAATGGAGCGCAGCAGGGGATTCTTTCCAGACGAATCCGAGCCGCTGCTGCGCTGTGACTCCACTTCCAGCAAAGACTCTGCCCTCAGCCGGACGGGCTCCTTTATTACCAAAGGTAAATGCACAGCTCAATAAACAGGCACACTGCCAGTTATAAAGACACACTGAGTCTGTAGTGATACAATATGTTGTCATTAAATGTTTTGTACAATAATAACATTATATTTCTATTTTTCATTTAGTTTCTCATAATCTAATATTAAATGGCAAATTCAAATGAAATAAATTGAATTTTTAGTTTAGGTGTCCTACAATCCTTAGAGAGGAATTTGTTTTCCTCAAACAGTTGGTTGGAGATTTTGATGATGATGAAAGTTATTGCTGTTATATCTTTAAGTGTAGATGTGGCCCTCTTGTGGAGGCTTTATGTTTCTACATCACATGTTCAAACATGCAAAAATTATGTTTTTGTTTACTAGTTTCTGCTTGATATCACATGGAATGTTTTTCAGTTTTATTTTTTATAATCATTATTGATTTTCCTGCTGTAAAAGCATTAGAATATTAAGTAAAAATCATCTTCCATGAAGACTGTTTGTAAATGTTTTTTTTCCATGAATTAAAAATATGCATTGCTAAAAGCTTAATTCGACAACTTTAATAGGGATTTTCTTAATGTTTATATGTATTTTTTACATTTTTGATTTAGATTTTTTGATTCCAGACTTGCAGATAGTTTTAGTATTTTAGCCAAATATTGTTCGAAACAATAACAAATTTGGTAGTAGTAGTAGTAGTTACTTACCACTATATATAGCAGCAGTTCCCAACAGGGGGGTAACGGCCCACAAGGGGACCTCAGTGAGCTTTGTGGGAGGGGGGTCACATCAGCAGTATATACAACTAGGAAAACGATCATGTTGGCTTAACAATTTTTTAATTCGTCCTCCACAAAAAAGAAGAAACTTAAAAAAAATTGGCAACTAATATAGGGCCAAGTTAAAGGCCAAAGGCTCACGTTTTTCAGTTACAAATGGTCTACTGATGTTTTGCTTTCATATTTTACATTGGGTTATTATTTGTGCATACCGTTTGCTTAAAATTTTTTTTTTTTTTGTCATCCTTACTACAAACGATATGAGCAAAAATACGAGCGATAATATCATTAAATGTTGAGGGGGCAAAGGGGTCTCAAGCAAAAAAAAAAGTGGGCAACCACTGTTATATATTTATTTTTTATTATTAAATTATTTTAGTTTAACTACATGAAAATGAGAAATATTTCCACTAGCTGAAATGAACTTGTTTTATATGTACTTGTTTCAGTTATTTTAATTTGATTAATACAAATGACTAACTAAAATAACCCGAGAAATTTAAGTTGCATAATAATGTGCCAGTGTTTAAGTATTGTGGACCATTTTATTCAGTTCTTGTAAATGAACAATTCGAACAAATAAAAAAGTAAATATACCACCATTGAAGGCCATCTTACAGTTTATACCGCCCCCTTGTGGATGCTTTACGTTTATCCATTTATAATACACACAACTCACAAATATATTGTTACACTATCAAACATCACCTATTTAGCCCTTTTATGTCAATACTAGATCATTAGGATGATAATGAATCCTATCAAAGTATAAAGGACATTCTACCAGAAATGAACATTTTTACCTATAAAAATGTGACCGGGCCTGCCCTTTAAGCTTGTCCTCCTCATACAAAAACATTGATTGCAAAATACGTTTAATGCAAATGAGACAGGACTGACAGAAACATGGGGACAACTGTAAAATAGTGTTTCTTTGTAGAATTTATTTATAATTTCATAATTTTAATTAGTTGATGTAAATGATAACAACTTAAACTTGCTATTTCTGAAGTTTTTTTCTTCTAAATAACAGATTTTAGCATAACAAAACTAGCAAAGCTGTAGGTTCAATTGGGCTGAGGACAAGGACAATGACACAATGACAGGGTTTGTAAAGTGTTTTTAGTAAAAAAAAATCTGAGAAACAAATGAATGACATATTCCTTACCAGAACTCTATTAATTAAAAAAATAACTACTCTACTATAGTAAATCTACTATTTAAAAAATAGACTTGTGAAGAAATACCTTTATTCACTGTCTTTATGTTTGTATTTTAGAGACAGATAATGTACGTTTCTGGTAGAATGTCCTATAATTTGACTGAGTGCTAAAACATCTCTACTTTCCGTCCTTCAGAAAAAAAGGATACAGTGCTGCGGCAGGTGCGTCTGGACCCCTGTGACCTTCAGCCCATTTTTGACGATATGCTGCATATTCTCAACCCCGACGAGCTCCACGTCATCGAGGAGATCCCGATGGCCGAGGACAAGCTGGACCGCTTGTTCGAGATCGCCGGGGTCAAGAGTCAAGAAGCCAGCCAAACGCTGCTGGATTCAGTCTACAGCCACTTGCCTGACCTCCTTTAAACCTCCATTACATCTCACTGTCGTTAAGCTACAGAAGCAAAGTGGCGACGGACATACAAATGCGGACTCGGCCCGACTGATTGTGCCACTGATGTCACACGCACGCTGTTTTAAAAGCTCACACAAGAGTGTATCTGCTAGCTCTTGACTGGATACAGATGGTGTCAATGCTATAACCTCTCTAACATGCAGCATACTCTTGCACACGCCTCAGCATGATGTCAGACTCAAAAGCTAAACGATGTAATTCACCAGATGGTTTTGTAAGTTGAATCGAGCTCATTATGGGAGTTTGTTTCTGCCATGGAGTTCAAAATATTAATATAAACAAAAAAAGGGTTTTGAGACAAATAATTAAATGTCGACCCAGGCTCATTCTGCAAATGTAACCCGATATACATTTCTGGAGATCGTGAAATACGTCCCAGGAGCTACGTTTTTTTGAGGTTTTTATTTTTGTGAATCCAGCAGAGGGCGCTGTGTATGCATTTGAGATCTCAAAGTTCTCTGTGACTGCCATTCGCGCCTGCTCTTCTCACGTAAATCCACTAGAGGCCGCTCTCGACTGTTCTAACTCACCAACCGACCGAGACCCCCTCTCACCCCCTTCCCTAAACCCAACCAGTAGTGTTTTCAAAAGCACCAATTGACCCGCTCACCCAGTTCCATAAACCCAAGCGCAGTGTTTTAAAAAGCAATCCAGAAAAAGAAAAGCCCCCTGCCTGATTTTTAGCACATTTTCAGATTTGACCACATTCTCACTCTGTTATTTACTTGTTTATGTAATTTTTGGCTTTTGTTTTTGTCTTACCTGCTACCTGGAGCCTTTCTTCACCCGACTCAAACCTCGTTGTCACGGTCAACTCCTCTCTGCCTCTCAAGTCTGCCAAAGTACATGGCATGCTAACTGGACAAACTGGTAATAGCTGGAAAGCCGTCCATACGGATGTAAACGGTCAGCTGGTAAGCGCGAAAAGGAACGGGCTAAATAATTCACGATCTCCAGATATGTACGTAGGGCTAGGTTTTCAAAATGAGCCTGTTGAAAAACTTTATAAGACTTCATTTCTTGCGGTTAGTTTATTAGATGGCCAGCAATTCTGACTTTATCTAGTGCAGTTGAGGGAAGATATTTCAGATTATGAACTGAGTTTGTCAGACTTTTTAAGTGAGTCTGTGTTTGGCATGGGCCGGTATAAGATTCTGATAGTATGAAAACTTTGGATAAAAATATCAGTTTCACGGTATTACGGATTACTGCTCTAAAATACTGCACGTCTGGGTAAAAAATAACAACGTTTTCCCCACTGAACACAATATGTTTTATTCTCAGAAACTTTTAAAGTATTTTGGAACAGTAAACATGTCAGGCTAAATAATTCAAATAAATTATTGACTTCTCCTGTCTTCATTAGTTTAAAAAAAACAAATTTCTGTACAACTTAAAAAGGCATCTTTGGAGATCTTTTTCCTTGAATATAAAGCTAGCAATTATAGCATGCTGGGATGATGTGGATGCTCCTTTTCTGCTGGAGATTCTGTTGCCCTAAATAGCAACATAAAATAGTTGTTTAAAAGAACGGTAGAACAGAAGACTTTAACAATTTTAAAATCTTGATTTTTACAAACCCCTGAACTGATCAAATAAACAGAATTTGCAAGACAGCTGATAAACTCACCCGCATAAACTTTTATGTTAAAGTTTAAAAAGACTTCTGACTTTTTGTCTCACAATCCTAAGTTAGATCTTGCAACCTGAATGGTTTTTGTTTTTTTTAGAATTGTAATAAAAACATCATATTTTGCTACATTTTTTTTTAATCTGGTGGGAGGAATGGGCTGCAGTACAACTGACATTGTTAAAATGTTGTTTTTTTGTTGTTGTTGGTTTGTTGCTAGTTGTAGTTTTTTTACTCTACAAATCCTATAGAGCAAGGTATTTTGTTCCTTTTGTTTGTATTTTTTTATGTTCAGAAGTATTACCACTGTAGCTGGTTTAGATGATGAGTTTGTGTTTTATGTGATTTCAAGGGCATTGAAAGTCATTTCTACTGGTTATGATGCAGATCATGACTGTTGGTAATGTGCGTTCACTAGTCAACTCTTAAAATACTTTTTTAAAATATGATTTCCATGTGCTTTTCCAGTAAAAGAGGAAAAAGACAAGTATGATTGCTAAGTAATGTCACAGAGGCTAGAGAACCACCAAAAATCTATTTCACAACATTTAAATGTAGCATTTCAGTGTTCATCTTTTTGCAGAGGATGATCTGTGGTACAGAGAGAATGTCTCTGTAAATCAAGTCACTCTGGTGCTAGATGTGAAACTATGGGATAGTGGTGGATTTTATCCCAGTAACAGGGTTTATGGTCATTTGACCATTTAACTTAACTCAAAAAAAAAAAAAAAAGTAGGTCAAGATGAACAGCTGGTATTAACTCTTCTGAATCCTATAGGAAGAGTGTCAAATGAACTGTTTAGAAACAAACGAGGACAGAATCATGAAGCTGAAAGCTAATATGTATTCTAACGGCTGTGTAACACATGTAACCAAGACATTTATTATTATTGTTAAAGATCATGTAACCTGAGAAATCAACAGATTAAAGTTTTTGTCATAATTTGTGTTTGCTTTCATCTGGTGTTCTTGATGTGTTGCTGCACACATTTTTTTAAGAGTCATGAAAATGCTTATTTTAAGCTAAGTGCAGTGTTGATATACAGTAGATCTACACTCACCAGCCACTTAATTAGGCACACCTGTCTGACTGCTCGTTAATGCAAAATTTCTAATCAGCCAATCACATGGCAGCAACTCAATGCATTTAGGCATGTAAACATGGTCAAGACGATCTGCTGCAGTTCATGCAAAAGCCTTGTTGATGCCAGATGTCAGAGGAGAATGGCCAGACTGGTTCCAGCTGATAGAAAGGTATCAGTAACTCAAATAACCACTTGTTTCAACCAAGGTATGCAGAAGAGCATCTCTGAATGCACAACACGTCCAACCTTGAGGCGAATGGGCTACAGCAGCAGAAGACCACACCAGGTGCCACTCATGTCAGCTGAGAACAGGAAACTGAGGCTACAATTCACACAGGCGCACCAAAATTGGACCATAGAAGATTGGAAAAACATTGCCCTGTCTGATGAGTCTCAATTTCTGCTGTGACATTCAGATGGTAGGGTCAGGATTTGTGTCAACAAAATGAAAGCATGGATCCATCCTGCCTTGTATAAATGGTAAGGGATATTTTCTTGGCACACTCTGGGCCTATTAGTACCAATTAAGCATTGTACAAGTGCCATAAAGCCTTATACATTTATGTCCCTTTAACATAATTTATTTCTATAACAATGATTTTTTTCCGAATAAGAATTCAAGGAAATTAAGCATTTTTTTTTTTTTACAATAAACTACTTATAAATAGCTTGTAAAATGTTGTAAGCATTTCACTTTTGAAAGAGAGAGAGAGAGAGAGAACAGGATGCACTTTGTTCTTTGATTTTTACTTGTTTTTAATGTAATATTATATTTTAGATCATTTTTGATAATTTTTTTTATTAAATGTAAATTAAAAACCTTCAAACTTTTCCTTAGCTTAATAATTAGTCAATTATTGGATGCGGTTGACTGACATAAAAATGGGATTAGACTGGTTTAAAAACCCATGACCTGTTCAGATAAACATCTTTCAGCTTATGTGTGGCATCTTTATCTCATGATATGATTTACATGTATTTGTAGGGGCATTCCCATATCACAGAAAAGGAGGTACATTCTTCCTCATTCTTAGTTTGATGGATTTGTACATCCTCAACCTGTTTGTTAGCAAGGTTTAAAGAAAAACAAAAAAGGGGAAAAGAACTTAATAGTTTGTATAGTTATCCTATTTCTTTAATTATGAATTTGTGCATGTTCCAGAATTGAAGCCAAAATGTAACTTAAAACACAGGTAAACACAAAATACATTTGTTAGAATGAAGGAAATAAATAATCTGGGAAGGTTTTCAAAGCTGGTCCCTGGACTCCAAAGAACCATAGAGCCATTGGGCCCTATCATACACCCGTTTTGAGGCGTTGCGCTACACTGTTTAAATAGCAAATGCATTAGCGCTCATTTGTGCGCCCATAGGCGTTCTGGTCTAAAAAGGGAGGCGTTCTGAGGCTCACGGCTGGCGTGTTGCTATTTTGAGAAACTATAATAGATTTTTCATTAGACCAAAACAAACCCGGTCTAAACTCCAGCGCAGAGTTGCACCTCGCTTCGCACTGCTTAATACGCACAAGAGAGCAATAGGCAAATATCTTTACATATGAAAAAATTTTAATATTAAGGATATATATAGGATATTATAAGAATAGATATAGAATATAAATATAAAGAATTAAAATATTACAAAACATTATTTTCTACATAAATATGAAAAATCACGGCTTTTATGTCTTCTTCATCTCGGGAGGCTTTTTCAGTTTATTCATAACAATTTGCTTTTGTATAATGTTATTATTTTTAGCAGTATTATTTATTATATCCATATTTATATTTGTTTTATTAAAAACAAGCTTAGATTTGCCCACCTGTCAGGTTTTAGACCATATGGGGCACAGCATGTGTTTTAGGATATAACTCAGGTTTTAGAGCACATTTTGCTATTATTATTCATTTATTCGTTTGCAGGAAACTAGAACTGAATTTAGAAATAGTTTTGAAACAAATATTTGCGCTTAACAAACAAAATTATTTATTTATAGACTAATAATGTCTGTGCGTAAAGGTTTCCCTATCCAAGAGCGAAAGTGAAAGTAGATCCCTTAGATCCATTTCTCATTCTCACGCAGTAGATGCTCTGTTTAACAGTTTTCTGTTAAAAAAAAAACTGTTTACTGTTTGCTTGTGAAATGCTCATTTTTTCCACTTAGACTTACTTTGCGTTCTGTAAATGGTGAATGCGCTCTTGGTGCGACGCAGCTGGCTCTTAAAGGGAATGGGAGATGAGACTCTAATTGGTTTATTCTCAAAACACACCTATAACTCATTAAGAAAATAAACTCAACCCTTTTAGACCATGCGCCACGGCGCAAAGCAGATTTCCCATCCTTAAATTAGCAAAAACACGTCCTGACACGCCTTGAAAGCGTTTGCGCCCCGCGTTTTGCGCTTTGTGCATGGACCGTCAAAATAGAGCCCATTATCTCCAAAGTGGAAAAGCTCAGAAGAACAATCAACTTTTTCTAAAGTGTCTGACCTGCCAAACTTCTTCCACGAGCCCAGTAACCCCAAAAGACCAAATACTAAAATAGAAGCAACTGAAAGCTTAGGTATCAATAAAGATCACTTTTCATGACTTTACTATCCAAAAGACACTGAACAAATTGGCACGCATGGAAGATTATCAAGCCAAAACCCACACTGTAAAAAGCATTTTTTTTTTTCTTTAAAAAAGTGAGTAAACACATTGCCTTAAGAGAAACAAGTTAAAAATATTTTGTCAGTAAACCTGTTGTAACTTGGAAAGGTTTTATAATTTACATTTTATAATTATGAACATAGTTCAGTTCCCTTAATAATTTTAATGTGATGGGTTTACTCCATAGGCTGTAAAAGATATAGACGTAGTATCCGTGACGTCCCCCATAGGTTTCTGAAGAACGCAAAAGAAGCTATGTGAACAGTACGTGTGGCCAACCATCACCATTTTGTTC